TTGTCTGTAATTTGCTAAGTCCCCCCTATTATTATGTTATCCTTCTTTTACTCTTTAAAATAAAAAAATAAATAAAATGCACCAATAAAATCTGATTGAAAAACAAAACAAAAAAATAAATCACAAAGGAAAAAAATGAAATGAGGGATTACCACATGGCGTAGTAGGTGTTAGGATAGTATTCGTTAAAAGGTGCCTCGGGAACTCCAACACGCACTCAAACACACAGCAGGGGTCAGAATAGCCAACTTAGAAAGAGAGGCCACAGGTGAAACAGAATGGATGGCAAGAATAACTAAGGAGGAAACAAAGTGTCTTGGCTTGCACTTGAACTGCCGCAGGGTAATATAAACACCATCTTCATTGGAGGTTCTAGTGAGAAAAAGGGAGAGCGTGCTAAATAGTAATTGAATATGCAGTGTCCCTTTTTAATAATATGTCTTAAACTTCTTTGTTTTTTGATACATTATCTTACTATGTAGTACAGGCTGGCGTTGAACTTGCTTATGTAGCCCAGGCTGACCTTGAACTCACGACAGTCCTGCCTCAACCTTCTGAGTGCTGGGATTACAAGCATGCACCACCACACCTGATTTAATATGTCTTAAACTTTATATTTCCTATATTCTATTTTTAAATTTTTTGAGTGTTATTTTGAGACTGGGTCTCACTATGCAGTTCAGGCTGGCCTTGAGCTCACTTTGTAGCCCAGGTAGGTCTCAAACTCACCACGATCCTCCTGCTTCAACCTCCTGAGTGCTGGGATTACAGGCGTGCACCATCATGCCCGGCTTCATTTTTTAATTAAAATAAAACAAATTTCACAGGAGAATAAAAACTTATAAGACTTCAATTTTTCCATTTTTTTCCTATAAATTTTTTTGAGGAGATAGGAATAGAACCTAGGCCCTTGTGCAAATCACTTTACCACTGAGCTGTTCACTGGCCCCCTTAATGTTATTTAGAGACAGAATCTTACTAAGTTACTCAGGTTGGCCTCAAACTTTCCATCCTCCTGTATCAACTTTCAAAGTAGCCGGGATTACAGGTATGTGCCACCATGCTTAGCTTAATTTCCTATCATATCTTAATTTTTTCACTGCTTTTGGTGTCTCCTATCTTGGAAGTTTTTGGACATATAACCTCTAAATTAGAAACTCTTAACATATATTTTATATGTAATAGCATGGCAAAATGGAAATTGTAGTGAAACACAATAGGATTACCAGCTAAAAATAAAGGACAATAGATACCAGATTCCTGAGAGAAGTAGTAACCCAGGGTTTACGGGATAATTGACCTTTCCATTTTGAGGGTATGTAGTGGTCAAGAAGAAGAGAAAGCCAGCCCTTTGTATTTCTTGTATTTTTAGACAGTGTCTTCCTAAATTGCCCAGGCTGGGCTTGAACCCCAAATCCTCCTACCTCAGTCTCCCAGAGTGCTAGGATTACAGTCGTGTCCCACCACATCTAGCAGATCTGTGTGTGTTGGTTTTGTAGCCTGTATATCATAGATTTAAATGTTTTATTTCATAATGTCTGCCAGCTGAACACATTTTTGAATTAATACTACTGCTTCTCCACTAACTTCAGGACATGGATTTCACAAAACAAAGCATACAACTCAATTTTCTAAATTCTTAGTTTTAACTGGGCATGGTGGCACATACTAAGACAGGAGGATCACCATGAGTTCAAGGCCAGCTTGGGCCTATCTCAAAAAAAAAAGAAAAAAAACATAGTGAAAATGGCCATACTTCCAAAACTGTTATACAGATTTAATGCAATTCTGATCAAAATTCCAACATTGTTCCAAAATTCCAACAGTTCACAGAATTAGAAAAAACAATCCTAAAATTCATTTGGAACCAGAAGAAACCTAGAATAGCAAAGGCAGTTCTGGGCAACAAAGGTAACGCAGGGGGCATCATAATGTCTGACTTGAAATTATACTGTAAAGAGCCAGGCGCACACCTGTAATCCCAGCACTTGGGAGGCTGAGGCAGGAGGATCATTGTGAGTTCAAGACCAGCCTGGGCTACAAAGCGAGCTCAAGGAAAACCTGAACTGCATAGTGAGACCCTGTCTCCAAATAAAAAAAAAAAAAAAGGAAAGAAATTATACTATAAAGCTACTGTCATTAGGAAAAAAAAAAAAAAAAAAAAACCCGAAGAAAAGTGGAACAGATTAGAAAATGCAGAAACAACTCCAGACATATTCAGCCACCTTATCTTTGACAAGGGCACCAAACAGATTCACTGGAAAAAAGATAGCCTCTTTAATAAATGGTGCTGGAAAAACTGGCTCTGCACATGCCAAAGATTAAAATTGGACCCATGTCTTTCACCATGCACTAAACTAAATGTAAAATGGATCAAAGATCTAAATATTTAAACAGAAACATTAAATCTGCTGGAAGACAGAATAGGTAAAACTCTTGAAGACGCTGGCGTAGGCAAAGACTTTATGAATAAAATCCCAGTCGCACAGGAACTATCACAAAGAATCAAGAACTAGAATCTCATCTTATTAAAAAGCTTTTGTACAGCAAGAGAAACCACCAACAGAGTAAAGACAACCCACAATGTGGGAAAAAATGTTTGCCAGCTATTCCTCAGACAAAGGATTACTACTATCGAGAACATATAAAGAACTCAAAAATATCAGACCTCCCAAATTTAAAGACCCAGTCCAAAAATGGGCATCTGAGATGGATACACACTTCTCAGATGAAGAAATACAAACAGCAAATAAGTATATGAAAAAATGTTCACCATCATTGGTCATTCAAGAGATGCAAATTGAAACAACACTGAGATTCCATTTCACCCTGGAATTAATGGCTATCATTAAGAAATCAAATATATCAAATGCTGGCAGGGATGTGGGGAAAAAGGAACCCTTTTCTACTGTGGTGGAAGTGTAGACTGGTGCAACTACTGTGGAAATCAATGTGAAGATCTGTCCAAAAACAAGGATTAGAGTTCCCATGTGACCCAGCTACTCCCCTGTTGGGTATCTTCCCAGAAGAATTAAAAACATCATATCACAGCGATATATGGGCACTTATGTCTATAGCAGCACAATTTGTAATAGCTAGATCTTAGAAACAGCCCAAATGCCCATCAACTGAGGAATGGATACAAAAGATGTGGTCTTTTTATACAATGGAGTACTACACAGCCATAAAGAAGGACAAACTGGAGACTTTTATAGGTAAATGGATGCAACTCGAGACCATACTCATAAGTGAAATAAGCCAGATGCACATGTGCAAACATTACAAAGATTGTATTGTTTCCCTAGTGTGAGAAGCTGATAGAGTAAATAAGATCCAAAATGTACAATAGAAAGCCAGATAAGGTGGCGTACACCTGTAACCCCAGCACTCAGGAGGCAGGAGGCTGAGGCAGGAGGATCACTGAAAGTTCATGACCAGCCTGGGCTACAAAGTGAGCTCAAATCCAGCCTGAACTGCATAGTAAGACCCTGTCTCAAAAAGACAAAAAAAAACCAAAATGTAAGATAGATATTGTGAAGTGGGAAGAAACTGTGCAAAAGGAAAGAGAAAATGGGATGGGGGAAAGGAGAAAAGAAGGAAGGAAAAAGCAAAATAGATATATCACATATCATATATATGTGATGTATATATGTGATATATATATATATATAAATGAAATAGTTAAGACAGTTGTACTACTAATTTCTCTTAGTTCATTGAAAAGAAAGGTTTGTGCTAATATTGTTTGGACAATTAAATGCTGATATCTTGTACTCTGAGTAACTAATTTAAAGATAACAATATGCAGTGTATTAACCGTTGTTACCCTCCTATTATCTTGTTTTGAATTTTTTTTTTTTTTTTTTTTTTTTTTTTTTTTTTTTTTGGTACCAGGAATTGAACTCACTACCTCATGCTTTCCAGGCAGGCACTGTGCTGCTGAGCTAAATCCCCGGCCCCTGAAATTCTGGTTTTTTCTCTTTAAAATAAAAAAATTAAATTCTTAGTTTAGAATATTAAGTAATTCTCTTCCAGAGAAAAGTAATGCAGACTCCAAAGCACTTCACTTCCCCTGGAATGATTTCCAGTGGTTAAAGCGAGAACATAATTCAAAAGAATTTGCAAATGTGGAACCGCAATGATCAGTTCACGCATTTTCTCTGTCTCAGCAGTGTACTTTGGAGCATAAGCCCTTAACTTATCTCACTTTGTTTTGGTTTTGGTTTTTACTCATAGTTTCACTGTGTTGCCCAACCTGGTCTCAAACTTGGGAGCTCAGATAATCCTCTTCTGGACCAGCTGGTGTTAGGTTAGGTTCTTGGTGTTATAGTTACTAGATAATATGTTTTCTGTTATTCAACAGTGACATCTATAGGCTGGTGATGAGAAACACTAGTTCTCCGTTTACCTCTGTTTTGTGGCTGGATCTCACCTCCTGCTGCCCGCTTGTTTCTGGTAACAGGTTTAAGGGAAAGTCAGATCAGAACCAACCGGCGGAAAACCCAGCGGCCAACAGGCACTTACCGGAACGCTTCTAGTCCTTTACTTTCTGTGACTGGACAGACGCAAGAGATTTTCTGAACGTGGATTGAATATCTAACTGGAGCAGCCTAGGAATATCTGGGTACCCACCCAGCTGGGCCCAGAGTGATGTTACCGATGTCTTCTTTGTTATTGGGTAGCTTGAGGTGGACAGGTCAGCATTCCAAACGGCCTCCCTCACAGCTTCTCTTTGTCTACAGAACCAGAGAGCATTAAAGGGAAGCGTCAGGCCCTCCTGAGCTCCACAGCCAGTGAAAACACGAGTCTTGTTCTTCCCTCTCCTCACCAGCACCTTGTTCTGTAACGCCCTCCCTGCGCCAGGCCCACTTCGACAGAGGGATGAAAGAAAAGTCTGAGATAGTTAACAAGGCTGTATCTCCATCATGATTTTACTGAGTAACGCTTTAAAACTACTTCTCAGCTTCGCCAAATATGTAGACCACTTATCTCTCCCCCGTCCTTCCCAGAGCTCCTCCCTTCTTAGGAAGAAGAAAGAGAACAAGCCGGGAAGAAAGGAGGGAGTGAGAAGGGACAGGGGGAGGGGGAGGGGAGCAAGAGGAGGAGCGGGGTTAGTGTTTCTCAGTATCTTTATTAGATATTCTTAAAGTAATTGGTTTCTTAGAAGGAATCAGCTTTACATTTTTAAAGGAACTCAAAATCAAATAAATATTTAAGTAGAAGTCGAAGTAAATAAATGTCTTGATAGATTAGCTAAGGACATTAAACACTTCTGTAGACTCTCCCCTGTAGGTGTAACTGGGAGTAAGGGGAGCTCTTGGGCAGAACTAAGAACAAATAAATAAATAAAAGGCATTGGGTGTCACACATCATACCAAGTTACAGAGGTTTACACCAGTCTTTCTATCACATACCTAAATTTGTTGAAAATGTCGGTTTTTGCTTCCTCTTCAATCAGCAACTCTAGGACTGGTTGTGGAGCAAATGTGGTAGGGGTGGGTGTCTTCTTTTTAGCAGCCATCAAGGGGATAGGCTGACTAAGATTCAGTTTATACATCTTCTGGAACTACAAATAAGAGAGAGAAAAAAGGAATCACCATATCATTCCTCAGTCTTTCGACTAAGATCAGATAAAACAAAGGAATCGTGAAAACACAGGGCCACGATTTTTAGGAAGGTCTTCTAAACTGCCTGAGACCCTTTTCTAGAGATTTGCACATCCTCTTCCTTTACTCTGCTTCCGACATACACAATTTCAGAGGTGGGGGTTATGACATATAAAACCCTAGTTGTACTTAAACTCTACTCCTATTCATCTAATTTCCTAGCTATGAGACTTTGGGTTATTTGCTTAATTTATCCTCACTTCTTTTTCTTCTTCTTTTTTTTTTTTTTTGAGCCAGGGTCTCACTATATAGTTCAGACTGGCCTTGAACTCACTGTGTAGCCCAGGTTGGCCTTGAACTCATGGTGATCCCCTTGCCTCAGCTTCCCAAATGCTGGAATTAATAGGAATGTGACACCACACTTGGCTTTTTCCTCATTCCCAAAACAAACATAATGCCAGGTATAGGCTTGTAATCCCAGCACTCTGGAAGACTGAGGCAGGAGGATCATAAGTTTGAGTCTATCTTGACAATTTAGCAATTTAATGAGACCTTGTCTCAAAATTGAAAAATAAATTAATAATACAAATAATGTGAATGCCCTGGAGTCAATATCTAGTACCATAAAAATTTTTTTTATTTGATTTTTTTGGTCTTTTTGAGACAGGGTCTCACTATGCAGTTCAGGCTGGCCTTAAGCTCACTTTGTAGCCCAGGCTGGTCTTGAACTCACAGCAATCCTCCTGCCTCAGCCTCCCAAGTGCTGGGATTACAGGTGGGCACCACCACGCTGGCCAAAAAAATGTTTGAAAAGAATAACATAGGATTGTTGTGAGAATTGTATGTTATATATAGAAGGAATTTGTAAATTATGAAGCACTATGCAAAGATAACAAAAGCTGACCTTTACTGAATGGCAGACACTCCATATCAGCTGCTTTCCATATGTCAGCTAGCTTGGTAGTTACAACATACTTCTGAGGTAGGTACTATTATTATCTTGGTCTTGCTTATGAGGAATCTGAATCTTGAGAAATTTAAGTGTTGTGACTCAGAAAACTCAAGTTGTCCAAGGTCACTGAGCTAGTAAATGGCAAAGCTGATTTGAACCCAGATGATCTAGTAGCAGAGCTAATCCTCTCACCCTCCACTCCAACTCAGTGTAAGATATTTATTCATGTCTACCCTTTAATCCCCTTTCCTGTTCCCTCTCCCTTCTTTACGCCCTGATACCCGTACTCCGTCATCTGATGTCTGACTTTGCTGAGCCCACGCCCATATGCGTCTTCTGTAACGCCCTAGACATTGTCATTCCTGCGAGGTGGCTCACGCGGCTGCCGGCCCCTCCTGCTTCACTCTGTCTGCATGGGCCTTGTTTGCCAAATCAAAAACAGACATACAGATTTTTTTTTTTTTTTTACAAACAGCCATAATATTTTAAAAATAGCAGTTCTGGAAAATTCAGAATATGTGTTTGGTTTGGATTAGGCTATGAGGAGAAGTCTCCTTGTGCATGCCAGAGTAGCAAGCAAGTAAAATTTACAATCAATGTTATGAAAGAAAAGGATGTATAGATATAAAAATGTCACAAGAGCTCTAGTTTGTGGTATTTGTTATTAGTACTCCAATTTGTGCTAGAGATTCCAAACATATAATCCCAGGACAAAGAACTCTAATCTTCATTTTATAACCTTTTGGAAAGTTGCTATCATACCCAAAGGCATATTGATAGTTTCCTCAGAAGAATTCCTGGGACAAGGGCTGAGGATATAGCTCAGCGGTACAGTGCCTGCCTGGCACTATAAGGTCCTGAATTCAATTCCCAATACTAAAAAAAGCCCAAGAATTCCTGGGACATAATGAGTGCACATTGGTGTAATGGTATAACAGGATCTTCTGTCCTTGGTGCTGTCACCGAGTTAAACAAATTCTTTTTTTCATTTGTTGTAAATTCATGATTTTTAAAAAATTTATTCATTCATTTATTTATTTATTTTTGCATTTTTGAGACAGAGTTTCATGATGCAGTTGAGGCTGGCCTTGAACTCACTTTGTAGCCCAGGCTGGCCTCAAACTCGCAGCAATCCTCCTGCCTCAGCCTCCCGAGTGCTGGAATTACAGGCATGTGCCACCGCACCTGGACTAAATTTATGATTTAAAACTAACTTCCTAAAACTAAATAAATAAACAAATAAATAAATGCAACTGACTTCCTGACAGTTTTGAGGTCAGAAATAACCACCCAGAATCAGTTAGAAAGCGGAGACTTCAAGTCATCTACAAGCTGGTTAATGTGAGTTGAATAGGAAGTAATTAAGCATTTCTGAAGTCTCTCCTACTCTCATTCGTTTCTCATCTAGATATCCAGAAAGTATAACTGCTGTCAACTCAGAAGTTTCACTAGGGTCATGGCGTAGTGAATTGAATGCTGTCCACAAAATATATGTCCACCTAAATCTGTGAATATGTCCTTACTCAGAGAAAGGGACTTTGCCAAAGTTAAGGACCTTAAAATGAGATCATCCTAGATTAATCAAGCGTGTCCTAAATCTGTGACATTTGGCCTCACAACAGTCAGAGGAAGTGGAGTAGTCCGCACCTAAAATCCTAGCATGTTAGGAGGCTAGGGCAAGGATTGAAAGTTTGAGCCCAATCTGAGCAATTTAGTGATTTAATGAGACCCTGTCTCCAAAAAAACAAGTACAAATAAAAAGACACAAGATACAAAACACATAGGGAAGGAAGCCCTTTGAAGAAGGCAGATGCTAGGCATGGTGGCACATGCCTGTAATCCCAGCACTGGGGAGGCTGAGGCAGGAGGATCGTTGCAAGTTACAGACTAGCCTGGGCTACAAAGTGAGCTCGAGGCCAGCCTGAACTGCATAGTGAGACCCTGTCTCAAAAAGACAAAAAAAAAAAAAGAAAAGGAGAAAGAAGGCAGAGATTGGACTGAATGCCAAGAATTGCTGACAGCCGTACCATCTAAGAGAGGCATGGAACAGATTTCTCAGAGCTTCCAGAAGGAGCCAATCCTGAAACACTTTGATTGCAGGAACTCTGGCTTCTAAAACTATGATAAAGTGGATTTCTGTAGGTTTTTTCATTTATGAAGCTGCGTTTATTTTTTATTTTTCCCTTCTTACTAGTATCTGTTGGTGATAAATAATAGATACTTTCATTGCGAGGACCTGAAAATGGTCTTCATGGTTGCTGATTCATTATCTCTTCATTGTGGTCTGTGTCGCCCCTCAGCGCTCCGACTTCCCCGCCCTCTCCTTCACCCCGTCTCTCTCCAGCCCCGACCCCTCTCCGCTCCACCGAGAGTGCGGCGTTCAGTCGGATCCGTGGTGCTGTGGTCAGCAGTCCTGGGACGCGAGTCTCCTCAGGAAAAGTTCTTTTCAAAGTTTACCGCTTTTATTTCTTTTTTGCAACACACTAGACGGAGAGAGAATGCAAAACGGGTTACCTGGCTAAATAAGTGCACCATTTTCTTCAGGCCTTGATTTCGTTTCTGCTCGAGAGATTTCTGCTTTTTAGACCAGACCGCCATCACCCTTTTCTGATAAGCATCAATTCTGCTCAGCATGGTGTAGAGGCTCCGGGTCTCATGGCCTCTGCCGGTGTTCTGGATGGCCTTTAATCGTTTGATTATGTTGTTTCTTAAAGAAATGACAAGTCAGGTTGACAGCGTTACTGAGCCTGGCCCTCAGTTTCTTTCTGCCCCGTCCCATCCCTGTTGAGTAGAGGAGGGTGGGAAGCTCTGCTAATGGGGAGCTGAGCTCTGAAAAGAGTAATAAAGAAGCCTTTATAGGGAGATATGGAACATGATTTTTTTTTTTTGGAACATGATATATTTTTTATTTTTATTTTTTTGTCTTTAGTTCAGGCTGGCCTTGAGCCCACTTTGTAGCCCAGGCTGGCCTTGCAAATAGTGATCAGGCAACTAGGTAGCCATGTTAAAAAAAAATGAGGTACATATCTCATAACAGCAAACCATAAAGCATGGACTGAACTGTAAAGTGAAAACTAATAACCAAACTTTAAAAAATACTAAAAGAAACCTAGAATTAGTTAATGTATTTATTTATTTATTTTTGGGACATGGTCACGCCATGTAGTTTAGGCCTGTCCTGAGCTCATATGTAACCCAGGCTGGGCTTGAATTCACAGTGATCCCTCTGCCTCAGCCTCCTGGGTGTGAGATTATAGGCGCTGGCTACCACACCTGGCTCAAGAAAGAATTATTAAAATGTATCTCAGATTGGGGCTGGGGATTTAGCTCAGCAGCACAGCGCCTGCCTGGCAAGCGTGAGGTCGTGAGTTTGATTCCTGGTACCAGAAAAAAAAAAAAAAGTATCTCAGAGAGGGATTTTCAAAGAAAGCACAATGAAAAAAAAAAAGCACAATGCCTTCTTTAAAATATTGGTGTATTTAAAGATATATAAATCAAATTTTTCTACAAAGCAATGTTACAAAAAGAATCAAAGCATAAGTCAGGGAAATTTAGCAATTTAGGGCCAGGGATATAGCTCAGTGGCACAAGCACCTGCCTGGCAAGTACAAGGTCCTGAGTTCAATTCCTGGTACCAAAAAAAAAAAAAAATTAGCAATTTATATAGTAGACAAGAGGTTAATTTTCCAAATATTTAAATAGGTTATATAAATCAATTTAAAAAATTTTTGACAACCCAATTTTAAAAATAGATAACATTTGAATAGAGTCTTCTAGTGAAAATGAAATACAGATGAGTCTTAAATCTACATATGATAAAAGAAATACAAAATAAAACAAGAAATATTATATGCTGTATTTCAACTATCATATTGGCAGTGAACAAAAATGTTTGATAATACCAAAAAAGTTTAATAAAAAGTTTGATAATAATGCTAGTTAGGGGGGTTTTTTGTTTATTTTTTGTTTTTTGTCTTTTTGAGACAGGGTCTCACTGTGCAGTTCAGGCTGGCCTTGAGCTCACATTGTAGCCAGGCTGGCATCGAACTCACAACAATCCTCCTGCCTCAGCCTCCTGAGTGCTAGGATTACAGGCATGTGCCACCACACCCGGCTCCCTATGCTAGTTTTGATGTGAGGAAATACTCTTTCATAATACTGATCAACATATAAGTGATTACAATTTCTTTGGAAACAGTTTGACAAAATATTAAAATTAAAAAAACATTTACCCCGATTCAGAAATTCTAAATTAACCACCAGGCGTGGTGGCGCATGCCTGTAATCCCAGTACTTGGGAGGCTGAGGCAGGAGGATCACTGTGAGTTCGAGACCAGCCTGGGCTACAAAGTGAGCTCATGGCCAGCCTGGACTGCATAGTGAGACCCTGTCTCAAAAAGACAAAAAGACAAAAAAAAAATTCTAAATTATAATGTATATGTAAGATTACTCACTGGTCTGTTTTTATAATAGCAAGATATTGAACAATGTTAATATCCACCAGAGGTTAAGTAAATTCTGGTAAGTCTAGACTTTGGAATACTCTGTAGCTATGCAATAAAGGAGTACCTTCTTTATATACCTTTAATAATTTATCCAACACCTAATATCTCATTTATACTATAAAAATTATATAACTTTAAAATATACAAAAAGAGAAATAAAAGTATATGTCCTGTTCTACATATGCAGAAAATATTTCTGGGTGGACATTCATTAGCATTGGTGGTCCACAGGAGGACTCTGGCTAGCCAAAAAGTGGGCTGTTAGAGAGAATGTCACTCTATTATTTGCATTTTTTGAATCTTGTTAACATGTGAATATGTAACTTATTTTTAATAATTAAATATAACAAATGAGAGAAGACATAGGGAAACTGGAGATGACGAGCTCTAGAGAAGAACCAGCAGTGTGTCACTTAACATTCTCAAGTATATGAAAATGTTTACATGTAAAAATCAGATTTAAAATTGGAAAGAAGCCAGAAGTGGTGGCACATGCCTATAATCCCAGCACTCAGGAGGCTGAGGCAGTAGGATTGATGTGCATTGCAGACCAGCCTGGGCTACAAAGTGAGTTCAAGTCCAACCGGAACTGCATAGTGAGACCCTGTCTCAAAAAGACAAAAAAAAGACAAAACTAAAATAAAATAAATTGGAAAGAGAAAACTAAAGATAACACATTTTTCAACAGACCTCAGATGACACATTAAAATTAAAAATTCTGTAGGGTTTGGTGGCATATGCCTATAAGCCCAGCAGGAGGATCATAGTGAGTTTGAGACCAGCCTGGGCTATACAGTGAGTTCAAGGTCAGCTTGAGCTACATGGAAAGACCCTTTTTCAAAAAAAAAAAGTGAATAAAATTACAAGTACTGATTGTAGCTTAGAGGCATCTTCCTTTTGTACTTTGTTCCAATCCTTTGTTTCCAAATGAATTTGGTCCCAAAAAATGTAAATTTCAAGCCAGGCATTATAGTACATGCTTATAATTCTAGTACTCAGGAGCCTGAGGCAGAAGGATCACAAGTTTAAGACCAACCTGGAGGGGCTGGGGATTTAGCTCAGCGGCACAGCACCTGCCTGGCAAGCGCAAGGTCATGAGTTTGATTCCTAGTACTGGGAAAAAAAGAACAAAAAAAACCAAGACCAACCTGGATTATACAGTGAACTCAAAATAAAGAGGGCCTGGACAACACAGTGAGACCCTGTCTAAATAAATAGATTAGTTAGTTTTGTGGAGTAGAGGTCTTTGCTTTATTTCCTGCTGTATCCCTAGCACCTAGAACAATGGTTGGCAAATTATAAATATTCAACAAATACTTCTTAAATGAATTATATGTTATTCCTATAATTAATGAAACCCGTTGTTATTGTTTTACGTAGGCATCCTGTAATTTTAAATGTACAGATTTCTCCTAAATAATGAATTTGTAACCTTAAATGCAAATGTTGAGGCTAGCAGACCAATTGATATTTACCTTGACTCATTTCTGATAAATATTAGCAATTTTTTTTTTTTTTTGGTTTTTCTCCGGTACCAGGAACCGAACTCAAGACCTTGCGCTTGCCAGGCAGGCGCTTTTGCCGCTGAGCTAAATCCCCAGCCCAATATTAGCAATTTTTAAAAAAACAAAGGTAGCAACTTTTGCTGTGGCAACACCTTATACAACCTCCCATTCCCATTCAAAACATCAAACACACACCAAAAAAACATCAAACACCTTCTGGTGAACCGAAGATAAAAGAAATTCAGAATAACCGGCATGCATCTCTGAACTTTTAAAGCTGATATTTTGGAGGTCAACCTTGATTCACAAAATATAATTTAAAGCCAGGTGTGGTGGTGCACGCCTGTAATCCCAACACTCAGGAGGCTGAGGCAGGAGGATCTTTGTCAGTTCAAGACCCACCTGGGCTACAAAGTGAGCTCAAGTTCAGCGTGAACTGCATAGCAAGACCCAGTCTCAAAAAATGACAAATATATATACATATATAATTTAAAATCTCTGCTAGAGATATAAATAGATATAAGTGGATATCGATCATGTTATGTACCATTTCTTATTTCAAAAAAAAATCCTCCTTTTGCTATCTGTTTTGTTTTTGTTTTTGAGACAGGGTCTTGTAGCACCTAGAACAATGGGTGAGACAGCCATGTAGTTCAGGCTGGACTTGAAATCACTATATAGCCTAGACTGACCTCAAACTTGCAGCAATCCTCCTGAGTGCTGGGATTACAGGTGTGTGCCACCACACCCGGCTTCTCCTTTTGCTTTTTTTTTTGAGACAGGGTCTCCCCATGCAGTTTAGGCTGGCCTTGGGCTCACTTTGTAGCCTAGGCTGATCTCGAACTAGAAATGATCCTCCTGCCTCTGCCTCTGGAGTGCTGGGATTACAGGCGTGAGCCACCATGCCTGGCTCCTTTTGCTATTTTAAACAAGCTCTGTCCTGCAGTTCTTATGTAAGAGGATGTTTTTTAGAGCACATAGTCTGACAAATATGAATAGACTTCTAGGCAATGCAGGACACAAAGAAAAGACATTAATAATTACATCTACCTGGCACGTTGGATCAGCCTATAGGCAATGTACTTGCGGACCAGGTATCCCAGCCGGATCGTGTCCATATGAAGTGTTCCAATGATGAGATTCCTAGCTGTTGTGTGTTGTTGCGGTGGGAGTCCGGAATCTTTTGTGGCTTGAATTAATAGTATCAGATTCTTCCTCTGAGCCTCCACGTCGACAAAATACCTCTTCTCTACAGTCTCTTTAGGAGAGGAAGGGGGCACCATCATTTTGTGTTTCTGGGTACCTGAAACTGAAGTCAGTGTCCAGGGCTGGTCTGTGGAGGGGAATCGGGGTTTCTGGAGCCCTTCAGAAGGCGAGCTTTGTGGCATCTTAGGTAGCCGAGGAGGAAGGGAAGGTAATGATATTGCTGGCCTCGTGGAGGTGGGAAGGACCGCCTCATCAGTGTATGGGGCTTGCGAACCTGGTGTCCTGTAACTGGTGAGAGACAACGGGAGTGTTTCCAATGGTTCCGTGACACCAGTATCTTGGAGTATCTGGGTTTCTTCGTCAGTGTCAGGGGGCTCTGATATTTGGAGCTTCTTAGTGGTGAAAGCTGCTTGGGATACCCTGAAATCTGTAGCCCTTGCCTGGACCACCACTGATTTAGATTTTAGAGAAGAAACAATTGCCAGTCTTTTCTGAGTGACAGAAGAGGACGAGACTCTCTGAGGCTTCCCTGGGGTTGGGGGGGCCCATGGTATAGAGGGATGCCTAGGGGTGGGAGGGAGCCATAACGGGGAAATTGGCTCAGGAAGGGTCCACGGTGCCAGAGGCTGCCCGAAGGTAGCAGGGGTCTGCAGAGGCAGCTCAGGGGTGGCAGGAGGCCGGAATCCCTGGGGCCACTCGGAGAAGGCTAAGGGTGCAGATTCCCTCAGCTCCTCCCTACTGATGGAAGAAACTCCTGGAACCAAGGACTGCCCAGGAGAGAGCGGAGTCCAGAGCCTGGGAATCTGTCCAGAGGGGCATGATACAAGAGGAGGCCTGAGGGGGAGAGAGGCCTGGGAAGACAGAGGTGGCCAGGGAGTCAGAGGGCCTCCACGCGTGAAGAAGTGTGAAGAGCTAAGGGCCTCTGGGTGAAGGGGCTGCTCTGCAGGGAGAGGGGCCCCAGATACCGGGTGACGCCCAGGGGCAGGAGAAACCCGTGGCAGAGACCCCGTGGGAATGGCTTGACCTTTAAGTACTAGCATTGGTTGGGAGGTAGGAAGGATCTGTGGGCCCAGTAGCCTTCCAGGGGCAGAACGAATGTTCTTTCCTGAGTGTTTCCCAGGAGTAAAAGGGGTTTGGCTGAGAAGAGGTCTTACTTTTTGCAAAGGAGAATAAACACTAGGTATAGAGATCTTCTCAGCAGGAGGAGCTGATAATGTCAGGGGCAGCCTAGCCCTTGGAGATGATCTTGATTTAATGGACTGTTGCATGGAAAAAGAGGCCTTCGATTCCTGAAATGGCCTAAGAGTGGAAGGAGCCAATGTGGCAAGCTTTTGCCAGGTCAGAGGGACGCCAAATGCCTGAACCTGCTGAGGGGTGAATGTGATCCTTTGGGCCT